CTCTTACAGTCCTCTCCCTCTCTCATGCTCCCCACTTGAGCTCAGACTAAGGTAGGGATGCCGAGATCCTCTCCCTTTTATTTCCCTTTCCAGCCACTGATTCTTTTTGTCCCACTCTTCATATCTTTTGTGCACTCCTCCATCCAAACTCTTCCCTTTTCTTCCCCTTCATGTTACTGCCCTTCTCCATCAATTCCTTTGCAAAAACCTTCCTCTCTAATTTCAATTCTTGTAATTTACTTTTCAACTCCTACAATACCATCCTTAGTAACTTCAGCTTCAAAAATTATGACCAATTTGATCCTTTAGTTACATGTTTTTTCATTATCATCTCATTTGTTCAGCAGCCTCATTTAAATCTCCTACTACTCAGTAGGGTCAATTTCTTTCAAACTGTGTTCTTTAATATCTTGCTGCTGAATTCCTTCTCTCCGACTGACTGATTCTAACATCATCTAGCCCCTCCACTCTTCACACCATCAAAAAGTAGAGGTGTATTGGTCCAATATCAGATGAGCACCAATATCACTCTTCTTCCTTTTACTGATGTTGAGTTTTTCCATGTTTCACACACCAACAGCCTTGACTTTTTTGCCCTTCTCACTCCTTAAGTCCTGACTGACTGCCAACATCTGCCTCCTCTCATCCTGTGGAGCATTTCTGGCAATATCCCATGATCAAGTGATTTCCTCCACTACAGATTTGTTCTCTCCTCCTTCAATTCTACTGTCTTAGTTAAGCAATTTTGAAACCTAATTGAATCCTGCACTGCAATCTCAGCTGCCTTTTACAATCATTTTTTTACTCTACTAAGACTCATCGTCCTTTTCTCCTGTCTCCATAGGTGGCATGGTGACCTTAAAAAAAAGACCATTTTAATGGAGAACAGGATGTGTTACTGGTCATATTTAGGGACTACTGAAATCACAATTTCGTGTTTTTTGCAGAAAAGACGAAATCATATGTTTTCCACGGAAAACAGTGGGCTCTGCAATTTTGGCAGTTTTGCTGAGAAAAACAAACAAACAAAAAACCCCCAAGAACTTGCCAGCAAGCAGAGAAAAGAACAGGAAGCCCTGAAGTTTTGGAACGGGGGTGGGGGCAAGGAGGAGGGGGCTGCTCACAGCAGGTGGCTGGGAGGCTGCAAGCAGCTGCACCTGGATCCATGGAGCCCCAACCTGGCTCGTTGCCAGTAACGGGTGCCCCAGCCCCTTCCCTACTGTCCACCCAGAAGTGGGCGTGCACCCCCTGCTGGCAATGAGCTGGGCTAGGGCTCTGCGGACCCCAGTGCAGACGCTTGCAGCCTCCCAACTGCTTGCCACAGCTGGCCCAGGCCTGGGCCCAGGCAGGCCTCTGCTGCTGACCACAGTCTGGGGTGCATGCAAGCAGCTACATCCAGGTCTGTGGAGCCCCAGCCTGATTGACTGCCAAGGTGCAGGTGCACCTGCCACTGGGGCAGCCAGCCAGAAGGGGCCGGGATTGCCCCCAGCCCCTTTCCCGGCATCCATCCCAAGGCACATGTGCAAAGTTTAACTGAATGCTTAGATTGGGGATGGCCCAAAACTACAGCTTAATTACCCTGATTAACCTCAGGGAAGCCATTAATCTATGCTGAATAACATGTGAATTAATGGTTTCCCTGGGTTTAATAAAGGCAATTAAGATGTAGTTTCAGGCCATTTGCCAATCTGCAGGGAGGGATGGGACTGCCAGGGCTCCTCAGACAGAGGCATGGCGGGGGGGGGGGCTGCCATAAGACCGCTTAGGAGAGGCCCCCGCCATAAGCCCGCTAAAATGGAGGCTGGCCTGCCATTTACCCGTGAAATCAGCTGCTTGCCTTCTCAAGTTGGGTAGATCCCTAGTCATATTGCAATTTTTGGAGGAACTATTCATGTGGCTTAGTTGTTCTCCAACAAATAGCTTGTTACTCTATTGCAATCATATTATCAGTCCGATTTTCCTACTGATCCCAGATTAGATAAAATGCTCCTGATCCCAGAATACATAAAATGTAAGCCTGTCCTATAGTTTCAAAGCAATCCCATTATAGGTAAAACACAGACAAAACCATGAATGGATGCCAAGGTATCCCTCAAGAAGCAGAGCAAGCTAAAAATGGAATTCTTATTCCAATCATTCACAAAATGAATACGAATTAAAAATTTTGATATTTCCTGCAGAATGGAAATTTCAGGCATCTCAGCAAACCTGGAAGCTGGGTTTCCAGACTGCCTAGAAGCAGGTAATGTTGTGATGCCCAACTCCAAGGTAACTTTGCCTGGCAGCAGTAGCAAAGCCAGGAAACCCAGAAACTCTACCTTGTTTCCATCTGGATTTCATGAAAACACGCAAATATTTTTTACCCTAAATTCTATAGAATTCTATTTTAAAAAACCCAACATATAAGGCTACCTTACAGCTACCACCTAGACAGACATTTAATGCTAGGCAATGTTTGGGTATCTTTCCTTAACATGACTTAAAAACCTACATGTCAGATGCACCACCCCTTTAAATAACATTCCTGCCAGTGACCCTAACTCCACACCCACAAGCCCCTGGTCCTGCAGGTGTTCCTCACTCCCAAGCCACAGTCTCCCAACCCACAGGCCTCTGCCTCCCCACTCCAGCCCTGCCAGAGGGGGCTCGCAGCTGCCCCCATCCCGCTTGGGCCGTACAGCGATGGCTGCAGCGGTTCTGGCTCACATGGGCTGCAGTGGAACAAGTCCAGTCCTGCCATGGGCTGGAGGGAGGAGGGGAGGCCTGCGGCACCCACCCTGCCCTGGGCTGGGGCTCTTGCACTGTGCCAGGCAGCTTGGTCATGGCCCCTCCCAGCCCTCCCCGCTGGCAAGTATGGGCACCAGACCTGGTGCTTATCTGCACCCAGATGGCTGGGGCTGCTCCCACAACCCTGCCTGGCTGTGTGCCAGCTACATGCGTGTGTGCATGCAGATGCACATGCACATGCACCTGCTACCTCTAATCACCCCAAGCAGTTCTTGCAGGCTAGAATGCTGCCAGCCTGCAAGGGGAAACCCATGCTTTCCCAGTTTTCTGGGACATGCTCAGGACCCTTTCAAATACTGTTGGAATGCACTTTTGGGTGGCAACCCATGGGTTGAGAAACACTGCTCTAAGGGAGCCCAAAAAACAGCCACTTTTTGCTCGCCTTAGATGGAAAGTTCTATGTTTAGGTAGCCCTCAATATGCAAGCACGACTAAAATCTGATTCCTTAATTATGGTATAATAATAAGGATAACCGTTGAAGCAATTGCTGTGATGTTCTGGAGGCCAAGAAGGTGCATTTGCAGACAGGTGGGTCTGATGGTGGATATACTAATGTCATAGGACAACTGTTTCACTAGCTAGAGGGTAAATCATGTTATCTTGTTTATTGATATAAAGCATGAAAATGGTTTTGCCCAGCATAATCAAGATGCGATATCTCGGAGTAAGGCAGAGAAGGCCTTTGCAAGTTTTTCCCCCCCCTTGAATTTCAGCACACTGATGCACACTATAGCAAGGGCTATACGAGTACTCAACATAAAGAGATTACAGCAGATTTCCCAAGGCAATAAATGAGGACATTGTTTGAAAGAGAAAAGATAGGACAATAGTAGCAGTCTACCCAGGATTTTGGAGACATGAGTTCAATTCCCTGCTCTTTGTCTTCCTGAGTGACCATGAACCCAGCTGAATGATGGTTTTTCCCTACCTGATAAGACATTATAAGAATAAATGTTATCAGGCAATATGGTAATACAGTAGCAAAGAATGCAGAGCCATATTTTCTCGTTATCGTACCACATTTTCTCACATACAACACACATCTCTTTCCCCAGAAATCAGACCCCTGAAACTGGGCAGGGAAGCTGTTTTCTTCACTGGAAAAGCACACCTGAAGACTGTGCATACCATGCAGCTGCCAAAATGGCTGTTGCTTGTGTATGGCTCAGAAAGCTGAAGGGGAGGAATTCTGTATTAAACCTCTCGCAATCATAGCTTGTGCTTGAAAGAGGAACTTCTATATAAGAACTATCAGTGCTGCTACTGACCTTGCAGGGGCCTGGGGCCTAACCTTGTTTAACAGAGCAAGTCCTCCTGTAAACACAAGTCCAGGAAGCATGGCATCCCAGGAGACAGTCAGGGTGAGGTAGCAGGGACCAGGAAGCACTTGTTGTCTGCTGCCTCATAGATTCATAGATGCTAGGGTCAGAAGGGACCTCAGAGGATCATTGAGTCTGACCCCCTGACAGTGGCAAGAAAAAGCATTGGGGTCATGTGACCCCAGCCAGGTGCTAGCCCAGCCTCAACCAGACCGCTGGGATGCCACACTTCCTGGACACTATGCTCCCAGGAGGACTTATTCTTTGTCATATGGTCAGCCATTACTCTGGAACACCCCCCCCCCTCCCCCACACACATTCTGACTTCCAAAAGGTGCAGGTTTTATTTAGGAGCATGATGTATGTGAGAAGAGATAGTAAAATACCACATGAAATTTTAAAAAATTGATAAACCAAAAGATATGAGAAAAAATTCGAATCATATTGCAAATGTCAAGTTTAGTCCACAACATGCTTTATCTTTGACTACGCAGTAGACAAGAACCAAGAAAAAAGTGTACTGCCCTTTGTTCCCTTGATGTAGAGGAAACAAAGGGAGGGAGAGCTACAGTGAACTTGTGTGTGCTTATACCAGTCTCCTCAAGTCAAAAGCTGAAGAGCGAGCATATCAAGTAAGAATCTGGATATTAAGAATTCTTAAAAAGTTTAGGTTTGAAATCACTCTTACCTATACACTACTTATATAAAAATATAATGAATTTACAGCAGCAGAGAAACATGCCCAAGAAGAAAGTAGTTTTTAATCTCAGCTATGCACATATGCATGGATTATGCATTAAAAACAAGCACATAACATAAAAAAAAAAACCAACCAGACAAAAAGCCTTACTAAAAAGACCTCTCTATGAAAAAAAACCAAACCCACAAGCAAATCCCAATCAAACAAAAACCTGGAGTTCCAATTTCACAGTGCTAGGTACTACTGACAAGAACTTCATTTACTCGGGACTTCTGAAATTAAGTCCTAAATAAACCCACCCTGAAAAAAAAATCAAGTTCGATGGAGAAGTCACTAAATCCAAAGACCAGCAAACTCCCTACAACACAGATCTACACATTCTAGCTAAAAACCCAAGCAATAGATACCTTTATACCACTAAAACAATACAATCAGTCAATGCAATCTTTATTATTAAACTCTTTCTTTATATTTGTTTGCCACATCCTTTAGCAGTATGGTCTGCTATTATTTTTAGTAAACATATCCTGGATCAATTTAATGGAGATAAAGTATCTGGAAACTGAAATTTAGGGTTTTTTGAAGTTTTATTGTAAATTAAAGTCCTCACAAAAACAACATTTTTTATATCTTTTTTTGTTTTGATTTTCATTTTGGTTAATTTTACAAGAGCTATTTGTCTGTAGCAGTAATGATATATGCACTTTGCACTGCATGAAGGGACAAGACAAATTAAATTCCTTAAATATACAGACAGACTGATCACACAGCACTTTATTTATATTTTGCACAGTACTCAACCTTTTTGACCAGTGGGGCAGATGAGCAGTGGTCTGGATCTGGCTAGCAGGCCCAATCTAGCACCTGGCACAGACATGGTGGGGCCCCATCCAACTCCACAGAGTGGGGGGTGGGCATGCAGACCAGCTCTATTATAGCTGCCCAGGGGAAACGGGCTTGGCCTTGCTCCATGAAGGGGAGGGGGCATGACCTAGGCCCAATCCAGCCCTGTGCGGGTACAGAGGAGGGGCTCAGCCCCATGAGGAAGCTGAGGTAGGAAGGAGGCCTACCTCAGCCCCAAATTGGCTGAGCAGAGAGAAGGGGATGTGGCCCAGCTCTGCAGAAGGAGAGGAGAGGAGAAATGGATGTGAGCTGGCCCCAAACCAGATGCCCGGAGAGAGGGGGCATGGTCCAGCCCTGCAGTAAAAAGGGGATACAGCCCAGCCACACAAAGGGACTGGGGCATGGCTTGGCCATGCAGCAGAGGTGGGGGGAAGGAGGCTCCAAACCGCCTAATGGGATTTGGGATTTTGGCACCGGGAAGGAGTGGCAATACTGTACTCTCACTGCTCTCTCACTGCCAGACTTCCTGACCCATAGGGTGCCTGTGAACCACATTCCAAGGCTCCATGGGCTGCAGGCCAGAGGTTGAACACCCCTATCTTAACACATTTCATGGGTATAAATGATCTTTGCTTGAAAATGAATCATAACTATTCTTTAAAAAAAAATCTCAGTTTTTTAGTTACCTTGGAACAGATGATGCTGGTTTTGACAACTCCTGTTTATCATCTTCTAATAAATCTGAAGCTAAAATATTTGATGTTGATGAAAGTGCATCTGCTATGCTCTCTGCTTCATTGTCCGATTGTTTACGCGCAACTCCAACAGACACTTTAAATTTTTTTGCAGATAGGTCATCAGTAGGAGGCGCCATTCGACCTTGAGAAAAGTGAATTGGAAAAATTATATATACTAGTAATAATAAAGAATTAGATTTTACCTGAAGGGAAAAGAGAGAGAAATAAAAGATACCAGATACCAAAGACACATGAACTAAACAAAAGCTGGAGCAAAAGTGAAACTGGCATGACTTACAAGGAGTTACTTTTCTAACTGTTTCTATGAAAAACATTGTTGTGGCTTGTGACCATTTTAAAGTTGCGGGGATAAAAAAAAGAAGGAACCCAAAAGAGAAAGAAAAGAAAGATACCGTTCCTTCTTCCTGGTCTGTAAATTTGATCTAAAGATGTTTATCTATATTTCTAAGTTGTGAGATCATAAGTAATGAGTACAATTATTACATTTTAGTATGCGTTTTTAAATTACCTATGCAGATTTTACAGTTGAGATCAAAAAGATGATTTTTGTGTTGACTTGTTGTATCTGAAGATTCATTATCTTCCTTATCTTTTTCAACTTCCTCTGTCTTTTCAAACAGCTTAACTGTACTGGCTTCCTATTGAATGTCAAACAAATCTCAGTTAATGAAAGAATGGACAATACATTTGTTCTGTTAGGTACTCCAAATAAATGTTATTCTAATTACCTAAAAGCAATGAAAAACCCAGAAATGCTCACTGTTCTCTTGTTTGGAAGCACTACACTTTTCATTTTCTTTTCATTTTCAAACCCGTAAGAAAAAATAGTCAATGTTTATGATTCTTCCAGTCTACTCAATGAAAGTACAGCTAAATGCCTAAAATTGTTGCCAAAATTCATCAGATAAAGAATAGCTACTGTATATAACTGAAAGCATTCAAATGACGGGAGCAAGAGAGACAGATAATTGCTTTTCTGCATTAAAGAAGTGTGCATTTACACACACACACACACACACACACACACACACACTTAAATTTAGTGTATCCAGTATTTAGTTGCACTAAACTGGACACTAAACTACATCCTGTCCCTTTAAATTCAAACAAAAGATTTTTTCTTAGATTAATAATACCTCCACCTTTTTTTTTTTTTTACCTGAATTTCCATAACATCTTCTTGTTCCTTAACTGGAGTTTCATTTTCAATTTCTATTTCTCCTTTGTGAGTAATTTTGGTGATTGGTCGTCTTTCTACCTCTCTCTGCTCTTTCTCAATCATTTCAATTGTCTATAAAATATTAACATTACATACTTTACACACAGACAATCAATTAAATGTGGAAAACCCCAAGTAATAGAAGAGGAGAGACATGCACATATGCAGTACAGAAGGTCATATCTTTATTTGTGGTGCTACTAATCATCAGTCATGTGTTAATTTGCAAGGAAGTACCTCCCCACAGCTTTCATTACATGATATTTTAAGTTTCTAATAACCAAAAAATTCTCTGCTAACCCTTTATATATAAATAAAAATTACAGAAAAAAAAGAAGATGCGGCATCTTCCAACATTTTGATTTTTATCACATAACTAAGTCTCTCACCTGATAAAAGAGTATTTTAACTATGGCCATGGACAGATGTTCATTTCTAGCACTAAGAAATTCTGTGAAATTCACAGCAATTCATAGTGCTAACCCCCACCCTGTTTGGGAGTTGGAACATAAATGCATTCCAGGCCCCTGGCTAGAGAGCTGCACAGGCACGCGCTGTGCAGAAGTGCATGGGGTAGGAGGCAGACATGCCCAAACTCAGATGAGCCCTGGAGAATGGCCCCTGGCCTGCCTCCCACATCCAGATTTTTCCAACAGCTGAAAAAGGACAACATGGTATAGGGAATCCTTATTGCCAGGCTCCGACTGCTTTCCTAGAGAGTAAAGTCTTGTAAAGCTAGGCTTCCATGCCTCTGAGGGGAATTTGTTATGGGAGGGGGTCACAAAGGTGACTGTCTGCTCCCTGCCCCCCCAATCCTGCCCTTCTCCCACAGCAGGAACCCTCCCGAGGTTCACAGCGGGCTCCTGTTGTGGGATAATGGCCCCTGCTCCATGCTCTCCTCCAGGTCACTTGGGAGGGATGGACAGGGCAGAAGGTAACAGCTGCAACAGTGGCAGCATAGCTGGACCCATCCTACTGTGAGACTGCTCCAGCTACAGAAAATGCTCCCTGCCCGTGCACAGATTAATTCCCGGTCTGATCTGAGTAGGAGGCAGATGCCTAGGACTGGTTCCAGCCTGGGGGAATGTCCCCCACTTTTGTACAGACTATGGGTGATCCAGACCTGTCAGTGGCAAGGGGAGCCAGTGCTTTGCCTCTCTCCCTCTCCTCAACACCCAAGAAGCATGAATCCATTCAAGTTAGTAAGGAAGAAGAGATCTTCATGATGGGAATAGGAAGGACTTTCTTGCAGAGTAGCCCATTCTCTTCCACAAGAAACCCACTGAATAGCCATATGCTCTCTTTGTGCTGAAAAGCTTTCTTAGTTAGAGACAACAGGCAGGATGCTTTCTGAAAGGCTTAGTCCTATGCATATAGAAACATCACATCAGCCAAGCATAAAGATGCTTTGACTCTGGAGTGAAACTGGGGGAAAAAACAGGTGCTTGCTTTGGCTGAAAGAGTGAATTAAGTGACAACCTGATAAGTCTCATTCAACTCTCAGTTGGTCAGTTAAAATACTACAGGAGGGGGAAGTGGGATTTCACCCATACATCTTACTTAGGTAGGAGAAGATGAGGGAACTGACTGCCGGAGACATGAAAAGTGACTATGCCAGGGACATGAGCATTAGGTTTAGATCTTACCAGAGAGACCCTAGTAAAGAAGAACTTTAGAACTGCCATATGAGAAGAGTCCTGGGATAAGAGGGGGCCTCATGGACGGCAATAAAAAGTAAGAATCCTAAAAATCAAGAGATGCACACTAGTTCCCACAGTGCAGAGATAGTATGATGGTAGCTAATGTTATATCCCTGAACTTCAGCTTGCAAAGGAAGATTTTGAGCTTTCTTTCATCAAAGATGGGTCATCATTCCCCTTTCCTTTTAAGAGCCAGGAAATAACTGATTTAGAAACCTTTCCCTA